GATAAGAAGAAGAGAGCATCTCGGGAGCCGGAAGACTCTCCGTCCTACTCCCGAGAGTTCTCCAATTCTGACCTCAGCATAAGCCTCTAACACCAGAAGCTATGATCACCAGGGAAGAGTTCGACCTGATGAAGCACAGGTTCGACGAGCAGGTCGAGGCGCTCAAAGCCAGGTGCGAGAAGAAAGAGTGCTCGTTTGACGATGGCGACCTGGGAGAATCACCATTCACCTCGGACATCCTGGAGGCTCCAATCCCTCCAAAGTTTAAAACTCCCGCCATGAAACCTTATGATGGGTCTAAAGACCCAAAGGACTATGTGGAGGTCTTCAAGGGCCTCATGGACTTTCAGGCGGCAACAGATGCGATCAAATGTCGCGCCTTCTAGATCGCGCTTACAGTCAGCGCGCGTCTGTGGTACCGGAGACTGCCGGCTAGGTCGATCTCGACCTACTCTCAGCTGAGAAAAGAGTTCATTAGTCAATTCTCTTCTCGGCATTACGATAGAAAGGCAGCGACTCACCTCGCCACCATTAGACAGAAGGAAGGTGAGACGCTGAGAGAGTATGTCACGAGGTTCCAGAAGGAATAGCTGAAGGTCGTGCACTGCTCCGACGATTCGGCCATGTGCTACTTCCTCACCGGCCTGGCCGATGAGACCCTCACCGTGAAGCTCGGAGATGAGGCTCCAGCAACCTTCGCCGAAGTCCTACAAAAGGCGAAGAAAGTCATCGATGGACAAGAGCTCCTCCGAACCAAGACTGGCCGACTTAAAAAGCAAATTGACCAGAAGAAGCTAAGCCAAGAGAAGAGGAAGTCCGATTCTAAGTCTAAGGACAATGGATCGTCCTTTTCTGGCAGCAGAACCGAGTATCATCGATCGGAGATCGGCTTTAATCGAAGCCGACCTTACGAGCGTTATACTCCAACTACCATCCCCATCTCTGAGATACTTACGAACATCGAGGAAAGCGGGATGGAAAAGCTCCTCAAGCGACCTGAGAAGCTCCGAGGAGACCCAGAAAAGCGTAACAAGGATAAGTATTGCCGTTTTCATCGCGATCACAGCCATAACACGACGAATTGCTGGGAGCTGAAGCGCCAAATTGAAGATCTCATTCAAGATGGCTATTTCAAAAAGTTCGTAGAAAAGCCGAGGACTGACTCGGTAGAGAAGACAGAAGAGAGAAAGCATTCAAGGACGCCACCTCGTCGAGATGACCGACCTGCGGTCATCAACACAATATTTAGGGGCCCTAGTGGGGGCCAATCTGGAAATAAAAGGAAAGAACTAGCTCTCGAGGCCAGGCGCGAGGTATGCATCATTAGGGAGCAGAAGCCTACTTGCTCCATTATCTTCGACGATACCGATCTGGAGGGAGTTCATTTGCCTCATAATGATGCACTTGTGATCGCTCCTCTCATTGATCGCGTCCTGGTCCGAAGAGTACTGGTAGATGGAGGCACATCTGCCAACATCTTGTCCCTCCCAACATATCTAGCACTGGGGTGGACCAGGTCACAGTTGAAGAAGAGTCCAACACCCTTGGTTGGATTCTCTGGAGAATCGGTCTCCCCAAAAGGGTGCATTGACCTGCCGGTCACAATCGGACAAGATGCTACCCAAGTAACGCAGATGGCTGAGTTCGTGGTGATCGACAGCAGATCGGCCTACAACGCCATCTTCGGGAGACCCATAATCCACTCATTTCGGGCCGTCCCCTCCACGCTGCATCAAGTCCTGAAGTACTCAACCCCTAATGGAGTGGGCACGATCTGAGGTGAGCAAAAGACTTCAAAGGAGTGTTATGCATCCGCGCTTAAAGGGTCGTCAGTATGCGCCCTGGAAGAGAAAACCAATCAAGACGACCTACCTAGGGAAGGCAAAAAGCAGTTCTCCCCACCAACAAAGGAGCTCGAGCTTGTTCCCTTACTTAGCCCTGAAAAACAAGTAAGTATAGGAACCAAACTGGGGGCCACTGACAGGGAGGAACTGATCAACTTCTCAGGTCTAACTCGGACATCTTCGCATGGTCTCACGAGGACATGTCAGGCATCGACCCAAAGATCATGGTGCATTGCCTCAACATAGGCCCATCATTCCGACCTGTAAAGCAAAAGAGAAGACCTGTAAATAAGGAGAAGAGTGATGTAATTGTTGAGGAGGTTAACAAACTTTTAAAAGCTGAATATATACGAGAAATTTTGTATCCCTAGTGGCTCTCTAATGTTGTATTAGTTAAAAAATCCAATGGGAAGTGGAGAATATGCGTGGACTTCACAAATTTAAATAAAGCATGCCCAAAAGACTGCTTCCCTTTGCCAAGGATCGACCAGCTCGTGGATGCAACAGCCGGGCACAAGCTGCTCACCTTCATGGATGCCTACTCCGGATACAATCAAATTAAAATGCACTTGCCAGACCAAGATCATACCGCGTTCATAACAGACCAAGGWCTGTACTGCTACAAGGTGATGCCTTTCGGCCTAAAGAATGCAGGTGCGACCTACCAAAGGATGGTGAACAAAATGTTTGCCAAGCAGATCGGTCGGAATATGGAAGTGTATGTGGATGACATGCTTGTCAAGAGCAAGCAGTCAAAGTCGCATCTTTCCGATCTGACCAAAGCCTTTGGAGTACTGCGCAAATACCAAATGAAGCTCAATCCGACCAAGTGTGCCTTTGGAGTCTCCTCGGGAAAATTCCTTGGTTTTATGGTAAACAATCGTGGGATCGAAGCTAACCCAGAGAAGATAAAGGTCGTGCTCGAGATGGAGGCACCCAAGACCCTAAAGCAGCTTCAGTGCCTCAATGGCAGGATTGCAGCCTTGAATAGGTTCGTGTCAAGATCAACGGACAAGTGCCTTCCTTTCTTCAAGGTTCTTAGGAAGAAGGGACCATTCGAATGGACAGTAGAGTGTGAGCAAGCACTAGAGCAATTAAAAAACTATCTCTGCTCGGCACCTCTACTCGCAAAACCATTGCCAGGAGAGAAGCTCCACTTGTATCTGGCAGTGTCTGATAGCGCCGTCAGCTCGGCCCTAATCAAGCANGAGAAGATAAAGGTCGTGCTCGAGATGGAGGCACCCAAGACCCCAAAGCAGCTTCAGTGCCTCAATGGCAGGATTGAAGCCTTGAATAGGTTCGTGTCAAGATCAACGGACAAGTGCCTTCCTTTCTTCAAGGTTCTTAGGAAGAAGAGACCATTCGAATGGACGGTAGAGTGTGAGCAAGCACCAGAGCAGTTGAAAAACTATCTCTGATCGGCACCTCTACTCGCAAAACCATTGCCAGGAGAGAAGCTCCACTTGTATCTGGCAGTGTCTGATAGCGCCGTCAGCTCGGCCCTAATCAAGCAGGAGGGCGCGTGCCAAAGTCCCGTTTATTACACTAATAAGACCATGACTGAGACCGAGACCAGATATCCCCAAATGGAGAAGCTGGCCCTCGCTTTAGTCACCTCGGCTTGAAGACTTAGGTCGTACTTCCAAGACACACTGTTATAGTACTTACAAACTTGCCCCTGAAGAATATCTTCCTTAAGCCTGAAATGTCAGGACGTCTGATGAAGTGAGCATTGGAATTGAGCGAATACGACATCCAGTTCAGGCCTAGAACCGCGTTAAAGGGGCAAGTAGTGGCAGACTTCATCGCGGAGCTTACCCCACCGTCCCAGTTGACCGAGTCCGACCTCTCGTGGATAATTTACGTGGATGGGTCTTCCAATGAGAGGGGGTGCGGTGCAAGAATTCTTTTACTCGCACCAGGTGGTGAGCAATTTGAGTATGCTCTGCGGTTCAACTTTCGGACTTCAAACAATGAGGCCGAATACGAAGCACTCATGGCAAGCCTGCGCGTTGCCAAAGGACTGGGGGCCGACCACATTAAGGTCTTTAGTGACTCCCAGTTAGTTGTAAATTAGATTAAGGAGGAGTACCAAATGAAGGACCCCCGAATAGAAAAATATCTGAGCAAGGTCAGATTGCACCTCGCCCAGTTTGGAACTTACGAGGTGAGTCAAGTTCCAAGATCTGAAAATTCCAATGCAGATGCCTTAGCCAAATTGGCGTCAGCGTATGAGACCGACCTGGCCAGATCGGTCCCGGTCGAGATCTTGGACAGTTCTTCTTCTAGCGCACCTCTTGGGACCCGTCCTGCTGAGAAGGAACCTCTTCTTGCGTCGTGCCGACCTCATTAGGCTCTTGGCTAGGAGCATCCTCTTCCTCCACATCGGAGTAGTCAGAGTCCAGCTCCCTGACGTACTTGTCCACCAGTGATTGGGGGCCAGGAGTACCATTAGGCCCAGAAGCCCACTTCTCAGAATACTTCTTCTTGAGATCGCTGAGATCGATCTGAAGATGAGGCATGTCGGTAGCAATGCCCTTCATCAAGAACTTGAAGCCGGCATTGCTGAAGTCTTTGGCAAACCCATCGAAGTCTGGGTGTTGCCTGAACGACTCCTCCAACAGAGTTCTATTGGTAAGGCGCTCCTTCAGGTCTTTGAGCTCGGTCGTAAGGCGCCCAATTGAGGTATCCTTCTCCTCAAGGACTTGAGCAAGGTCGTCCTTCTCCTTCAGGAGCTAGAATTTCTCCTTCTCCAGCCCTTTGGTGATAGCATGGGCTGCTCGGAGGTGGGCCTTGTGTTTCTCACCCTCCTTCTTCAGAAGCTCTGCCTTGGCATCCACCTCGACCCTCAAAATATCCACCTCGCCCCGGGCCTTTAGCAGCTCGTTCTTCAGCGTGGTGGCAGCCTCTAAGGCAGCAGAGGAGTTCTCCCTCTCCTTCGCTACCAAAGCCTCTCTTCCATCCAGCTCGGCTTTGATCATAACCGCTGAATGAATGGAAGCGACGAACGCCTGAGAAAGTCAAAAGACACGATGGTTAGTCCGAGTTGAAAATTGAGAAAATAAATAGTGACACAAACTTACCTCGGCAGCGTTGTCAATGGTCCTCTGCAATACGGACCCAAGATCACTTACGAACTTGGATGCTCTCCTCAGACAGCGGTCCAAGCACGTGACCGAGATGTGGGACACCTGGTCCATAACCCCGGAGCTTGACGGTTCCATCCTGAACCGCATTCTCACATCGGATGTTCCCCCCATCCTAGCTTCGGGGTCATTCACCAAATCAGCATGGCTCGTAGGCAGAGTCCCACGAGCCCCAGCCTCCGAGGAGGAGGAAGTCTTCTTCTTCTTTCTTCTTCTCCTCAAAGGAGATTCTCCCTTCACCTCGTTCAGGGGATATACGTCAAGCGCCTCGGACTCCTCCCTTGGACGCTTCTCTCCAGATCGATCCCCAGATAAGTCTAGCTCGATCACGGGGGTAGGGACTGCAAAAGATGGCCCAGAGTTACCATGAGCCTCAATCCGTGGCACCGTAGGCGTCACCGGTTCAATACCCACCACGGTCTTGAGGGCGTGAGCACGGCCCTTGGACTTGCGCTTCACACTTCCAGTGAATCCGCACACCATTGCTGCAAAATAAACAAACATAAAGTTAGAGATCAAAGGAAAGTTAAGATTGAAGTCGAGATCGAACACGGCTTACCGAGCTTGGAGTTCGGCCTTGAAGCTTCAATTGGTCGAACCAGAGGGTTGTAGTCCAGTAGCCCCGACTCCAAGAGTAGCTTGTCGGTGACCGAGGTTCCGATCTTCCGGCCCCTGGGGAAGTGATCCTTGTAGTATTTGAGGGTATTGAATGTGGCTTGAGCAAGCTCGGGAATCGGTTTGATCGACACTGCACAAGACAAAAAAGATTCAAGTTAGACATGAAAAAGGAAGAATAGAAAAATTCAAAGAGGTAAACGCAACGGCTTCATACCTAGGTTCCCAAACCGAACAGGCACATCAAAGAAGGGACGACCTGACTCGTCCTTTGCCAGCCATTCACCTGAGGCAAAGAACCACTTACCTACCCATCCTTTGATGGAGGTCGGCCCCTTGACTATGCCACCCGCGCCCTTCCTCGCGCACATATAATACCGACCTGGTTTTTTAGCTATCCTCTTGGCCTCAAAGCACCCAAGAAGTTGATCAACGCTTAATAGCTCGGCCTCATCCTCGTCCCGAGCTCGCAACCAAAAAAGAATGGCTAAAGCAAAAATGACACCCCACCCATTGGGGGCCACTTGAGCAGGAGCCAGTCCAGTTCGGTTCAGGAACTCCTGAGCAAAAGGATGAAGGGGAAGTCTGAGGCCGTACTCAAACATCTTTAAATAAGGAGTGACCCATCCCTCTAGGGGATTGTCAACTCTTTCCCCTTCCTCAGGAATCCTAAGAAGAATATCGTTCGGAATTTTAAATCCCCTACGGAGGGGTCCGAGATAGTGCTCGGGCATCTTTGAAGGGTAACCCAGACCCTGGCCCGAGGTGGAGGTATCACTATCCTCTCCATCATCTGAGAACCTAAAGTTCTCTATTTCTTTCAGCTCGGACTCTAACCTAAGAGCTAAGCCCTCCCCAGAATCACTTGGTTTTGGGGGCGAACTGCTTATGGTACGACCCGCACTACCTAGGCTATCACTACTGGAAGGGGAAGACAAAAAAACCACCATATTCGAAAAAGAAGTAAACAAGAATGACTGACCTATGGAAGGTTCGAGCTTGTTTCAGATCGAACTCCAGAAATTCAGGAAACGTGAGGTTTGACCTCAAATCTCGGGACTATTTATAGCTAATCGGAAAAGTCTCTGCGCCGTACACGTCTAATCAACGAGCGGCTAGGATCTTCTCGAGATACGCAACGACGGAATACTTGAGTGCTCCGACAACCTGGCA